GAGGAGACGCCGCTATCAGTGACATAAGTGTCTGGTTTGGTGAGGGCTCTGTTTACACCCAACCTGAGTCCAGGATGGGAAGCCCACTAAGTTAGGGCCGGGTTTGTATGAAAAGGTTCCTGACTAACTGTGGTTATGAGGGGGAAAAGGTCCCTATTTTCAGAGGTTGCTCATTTATCTGCTCAGGAACAGTATCTCCTCCGCAGTGGAAGGTTGGATTCAGGAGGATGACTCCAGGTGGTCAGTTGCTTACCTTCCTGCCATTTTTTTTCCTTTCTCTCTCTCTCTCTTCTCTAGTGTGTTGGCCAACTTTCTCACTCTCTTTTCTCTCCGTTCCTCGTGCCGTCTCCCTTCGTAGGAGACGGGCAGGCTTGCTAGGTGTGCATCCCTGCAGGCCAGGTCTCGGGAGCCATGGAAAAGTAGGAGGGGATGAAAATCATGCAGGGCTGTGTCTGTTGGTGTTAACTCGGTCTCTGTTCATCGAGCGGGGCTGATGTAGATGGGACTGGAGAGGGAGGCAGGGCTGAGGGCAAGATTCTTGCTTGGCTTTATTAGTTGGCAGAGGAATTGTCCAGGAGCCCTAGCTGGACAAGAATATGGCGGAAGTGGACCTGAGCAGCCTGGACATCCTTCTAAGGAGACATGAATAGTCCTCATGTTTCTGCCTTCTGCATCGCTGGCTGTGAGTAAGAGGTCAGTGCTTTGAATTCCTCATCTGTACTCGCTGTAGTTTTCTTGACAGGCCGTGTGCTTCCTCGTTAGTTACGAGGCTCTGGGATTAAGGCTGGGGAAGGGGCAAGAATCTCGTGAGCAAAGTGAGTATTTTGGGTGCCGTTACAATGGGTGCCTTCTAGTTGCAGTTGTAACATAGTAATGGGAGATGGGATGAGGATGGAGCCGTGGGATAAGGGAGATGTGAAATGAAGAAGACTATGCGACATTGCAGATGAAGATGCTAATTTTTTTTGGTTCCCCCCCTCCCACTGGGTTTAGTACCAAGGGAAACGAAGTCACGCGTCAGAGTCTACTGCCCTCATGCGATGGAAAGCGAGTGAGAGCGTCGAGAGACTCTGAGCATTGTTGATGCCACGCAAAAGCCATCCATCTGGGAGCCGAGTAGACGCTGCTGTCGGTGAGATAAGTGTCTGGTTTCATGAGGGTTCTGCTCACGCCCAACCTGAGTCCAGGTAGAGAAGCCCAGTACAGTAGGGCTGGGTTTGTATGAAAAGGTTCCTGACTAGCTGTGGTCACGAGGGAGAAAAGGTCCCTATTTTGAGAGGTTGCTCATTTTTCTGGTCAGGAACGATGTCTCCTCTGCAGCAGAAGGTTGCATCCAGGAGGATGACTCCACGTGGTGAGTGCTTGCTTTCCTCTGATGTTTTCCTTTCTCTCTCTCTCTTCTCTAGTACGTTGGCCAACACACAACCTCTAGCTCTCTCTGTCTCTCCTTGCCTGTCCTCATGTTGTCTCCCTTCGTAAGACACGGGCAGGCGTGCTACGTGTGCATCCCCACAGGCTTTGTCTCGGGAGCCATGGAGAAGTAGGAGGGGACGAAAATCATGCACGGCTGTGACTGTCGGTGTGAACTCGGTCTCTGTTCATCCAGTGGGGCTGACGTAGATGGGATTGGAGAGGGAGGCAAGGATGAGGGCAAGATTTGAAGCGACATATGGCGTTTTAAGTAATGATGGCTCATGTTTGGCTTTTGCAGCTGCGCTTCCAGAGGAATTTTCCAGGAGCCCCAGCCCGAGGAGAAACTGGCAGAAATGGACATGAGCAGATTGGACATCCTTGTAAGCAGACATGAACAGTCCTCAGCTTTCTGACTCCCGCATAACTGGCTGTGAGTAAGCGGTCAGTGCTTTGAATTCCCCATCTGCGCTCGCTGTCGTAGTCTGTGCAGGCCATGTGCTTTCTCGTTGGGTACGGGGCTCTGTACGATTACAGCTGGGGAGGAGCCAGAGTCTGCTGTGCAGAGTGATTTTTTCAGATGCCGTTGCAAGGGGTGCTTTTTAGTTCGAGTGCTAAGGGCGTTATGCGGGGGAGGGTTCGGGGCGGAGCGGTGCCGTGTGGGAGAGGCAAAAAGAATAGCTTACGGGACGCTGCCCACTGAGGTGGTATCTTATTTGTTTTTCCTCCTTGTGTTGGGTTTAGTACTGAGGGAAAAGAAATGAAACATCAGAGTTTACGCCCCTCGTCGGATGGAAGGCGAGCGAGAGCAGTGAGCCCGCGAGCATTGTGGATGCAAGTCAGGAGCTGACCAGTTGGCTGTGGACCAGTCGCTTCTGTCAGTGAGATAAGTGTCTGGTTTGGTGAGTGCTCTGCTCACGCTCCACCTGAGTCCAGGTAGGGAAGC